TGCGTCGGCCGCGGCTGTTCCGGCTGTGATGGGCGCCTTGCCCGGGCGGTGCAGCGAGGGACGCAGCAGGGCAAGCGTGGCCGAGTCAAGGCCTCAGGCCGCCCCCGGAAGAGAGAAGAGGTTGGGCTTAGGGGAAGCCCCTCAGCGAAGCGGAATAAATCAGAATCTGCCGGTCCCCTGAGTTTCTTGTAACGCCGTCGTTACATCGCTTTTGACAGCTGTAGCGGCGTCCTCAGTAAAAACCCTTGCCTTTTCCTTTGTGGATGCGGGTTGTTGTTGTCTGGCCGTAACCTCTTTCTCTCTTTCCTCTCCTAGGATGGAGACGTTCACAGACATCTGTACCTCCAAGAAGTCCTTACGAGCGTTGCAGAGGTGGCAGAAAGAGCCAAGTGAGCGAGACAGCGCGTGCAAACTATCACAGCGTCTTTCTAATTAGCAAATGGTTTGTTAGTTTTCAACTGGAGTCATACAGAGTCTCCTTTCCAGCGAGAAGATGCCATCACAGAGACGCTGTGTGAATCCTGCCCGTTCCTGTTAGTTATAAAGATGCTGGGCTGGGGCGTTTCACAGTCCTGTTGTGCATTGACTGTCAGGGCAGAGAAGCAGAAACGAGTTAAGAGGGAGAAGGCAGGAAAGTGTTGCAGAAGAGTTTTAAAAAGACCACTATGATCTTAATCATTGATTTAATTTATTGTTATTTACATATCACTTAATTTATTATTCTTGACAAAAAGAAAAAAAAAGCCGCAAGTAAGTAAAGTCACCTAAAGGGAAGTGTTAATTATATGCAAGTTAAATTGAAGCACTGGTTTATATATTGGGGATGGCATTTAACATAGCGTGATGGTCCTCATCTCCCTGCAGGGTGTCTGAATTCTGTTGTCACATCTCTGGGTGCTGCCAGGTCTTCGATACCTTGGAGGGCTACGAGCACCACTACAACACGCTGCACAGGAATGTCTGCTCCTTCTGTAAGCGCTCTTTTCCATCCGGGCATCTCTTGGATATTCACATCTTGGAGTGGCACGACTCGCTCTTCCAGATAATGGCAGAGAAACAGAACATGGTGAGTCACAAACAAACGGGAGGCATGTGCTGTCTGAGGACTTGCAATATCCAATTTTTGCCTTTTTTTCCTTAGCGATAGCCCCCTGGTTGGTACAGCCACTTCTGATTTTTAATGTGCAGTTAAGAGACGCCGAAAAATAATTGCAGATGTGCAGGCAGATTGGCGTTGCAGTCTTTGTGACTGCCAGATCTTCCCATGTGCACTTGAAACCAGTAAGGCTCTCCAGCCTACTGTGCAGTGGGCAAGTGCGGCTCATGTCCCACTGGGAGGAAGCAAAGATCGAGGGAACCGCTAGTCATGGCAAAGTGGGACTGTACCCCAGCCTTCCGTTCACAAAACAGCCCTTTGCTCGTGGTTGCAGTGTCAGATCACATCCCAGTGGGTATGGCACGGGCTGGCATCCTTCTGGACTGACACCACCGGTCTGGAGATTGATTTGCCACATATAAATGGCGATTTTTATTCTGTGCACGGCTGGATGCTGGCTAGTAAGGTCCTAGCCGAGTAGTTTTATTAATCCAGCTTTTAGTTTTGCTCCATTGAGACCTTATGAGGGAGAGGACTCTCTCTCCTGACGTTTGCAAGCAAATGCTGGGGGACCCACTAAAACGCTCCGGCCGCGCCCCTGCCCCGATCTTGGGTTGTGCAGTGGAGCAGCACACCCATGCAGCCAGCTGACACCGCTCACCTTTCCCAGTCATTTTTCTTTTTTCCTGCTTTTCAGTACAAGTGCTTAGTAGAAGGCTGCGCAGAGAAGTTCAAGAGCAGCAAAGACAGAAAGGATCACTTGGTCACCGTTCACCTTTATCCTGCAGACTTTCGATTTGATAGACCAAAAAAAGTTAAAAGGTAACTGCAGAATTGCAGTAGTGCAGCTGATTTTCCCTTAATGTTTTTAGAGATGTTATGCTTTGCTGTTTGATTCCCTTTCCAAAGTAAACAAGTTTACACCTTAAGAGGCTGCTCAGGAGCCAGAAGGGAAATTTTTATGCCATTCGTAAAAGCAGGTGAACGAGAACATCTTTTAACAGCAATGATAAACCATATGTTAGTGCTGAAGTAGTCTCTCTCCCGTGCAGCTGCAGGCTCTGCTCCCCTCATGCTGTCTCAAGTCTAAACACAAAGCCCAGCACCTCTCCGCATCATTTTCTGCGTGCATTCTGCTTTTCTCCCTAGTCCTTTGCAATATTCCCATCCTCCAAAAGCAGGAGTAGAGCAGAGGGAGGCTTTGTAAGTTTGGTATATGGCTTTCCGATTTGGCCACTCATTCCAAGCGCTGTTTTTCACTGCAAGAATTAATATAGGAAGGGATACTGTTTAACACCTTTATTGGTAAGCTGAGTGATAGGGTGGAGAGAGAAAGAAAATCCCTTGCCTAGCAGTGTGGTGCAGCCCTGGGACAGATGCACAGAGGGACAGGGGACTGGGTCTGCGGAGACTTTCAAAGCTTGCCTTGTTATCCTGGTCTAGCTGTGAACCCTGTCTGGAGCGGGGGGGTCCGGCCAGAGATCTTCAGAGGTCCTTTCCAACCTAAATCTTTCTGTGTTTCTATGGTAAGAAGTGACATAATGCTGCTCTGGATAAGGAAACAGCTGGTTACAGAAGCAGACTCAGGCTGTGCATCACTGTCATGACATCACGGCGTGATATTCCTGGGGCAGGTTCGGCAACAAAAGGTTAAATTTGTTCTGCTCCAGACACTTCAGTTTACTCGAGACGGATATGGGCAGAGATGGAGAGAGTTGGTCGAAGACTTTGCATTAGCAGGCAGCTGGCCCTGCTTACAATGGCTCCACGTTTAGGAAAGAAAGAAACTGTGTACTGCAGTTACTGCCACTCTGTTAGCCAGGGATTAAAAGCTAATGTTCACCTTTAGCTGTGGCATGACATCAGCTGAAAGAAAGTCCTGTCCTGGCACTCAAGCACATGTATGAGTTATACTTTATGGATATAAGAAAAAAAAGGATGGACTAAGCCATGTGCTATAAAGCAGTGACCCTGAATCCTCTAGTAGGAGCTCATCCAAGCCCTGTCACCTAGCTCTCCAGAGGCATTCTGGCTGCTCCTGGCAGCCTGCGCAGCTGGATTTTTGTGCCTCCTTCTTGCGATAACTCCCCTAAGTGTGCCTCGACTTGTTTCGTAGCTTCCTGATTAAATACCTTTCATTTCCTTTGCTCTGAGCTCACGTGGCAGCTACTGAGAGAGGATATAAAATTTTATCTCTGCAGTGGCACCAAGCACGAGAGATCTCCCATGAAACAGGATGCAGGGGTGCCAATGGATGTGAGTGTGGAGACTTTGGAGCAACTGCAAGCAGATTCCATGGAAATAGGCCCCAGTGAGAACGTGGAGATCCCTCTGCCCGCACCCAACCCAGCCCCCTTGGTACCAGAGAAACGACTCTATAAATCCAGGTTTGTACCGTTTGCTCTCACAGGCAAAAATTTCTGGGGCTGGGACTGTGTCATCTTAATTGCATTTTGAAATACCTAGTGTACCGTGGCTCAGTGTGTTTCTGAGTTGAAGACATAAAGAGGTAGTATTTCTTGTATGTTTTTAAAGCCCTTTTCATGAAGCGGATGAATTTTCTAACCCACGATTTCTCACTTAACCTGCATCTATGCAAAAATACCAGGCTCAGCAATTGCCAAGTCTCAAAGGAAAGGCTTAGTTATTATGAGGAGTGTTTGTTTTATTAATCCTGGCAAGCTGCAATTTGAGCATTTATTGCTTTGCCAGTAGCAAACGGATTTATGACTAAGAAGCTCAAGGACCTGAGTTCAGAAAAGCATTTCTGTGGTCCTTGCAACCATACCGGGCATTGTTGCAGGATGAGGAAAGTGTAAGGAAGAAAAGAGCATGTGTGCGCTGTGAAAGCCTTGTCAACAGGCTGTTTCCGTAACTCTGCTAGGCTGCGATCTCTTCCTGTAGTATTGTCGAATGGCGTGGGTCCTGAAGACATGAAATTTGTTGGGGTCAGAGCCCTAAAATACCTATGCAAACGTCTTTTCTGGTTTCATTTTCCCATCTTAGTTGACTGCCGGTTGAGCTGGTGCATTTCACTGTAACTTTCTGTGCTCCCATGCATGTTCATGGGATGAGATATAAATAAAGCAGATGAACGTCCTACTCTGAATTTTATTTTTTGCAAGGCCAGATGAGCATTGTTGTTGGTTTTTTTTTTTTAATAAAATCTTTACAAAAAGTTGAAACTAAATTGCATTTCCCTACCTTTGAAAAAACTCTTATGCTGTAAAACCTGAATAAGACACAAGATAGCATTCTAATCAATTCATCATTGAGACAGACTGTGCCGTCCTCTTCCCAGCACTTGGATCGGTATATTTTTATTAACTGTTTTAATGGTCTTTCATTGTAAAGTTTTATACGGTTTTGCTTAACTCTTCCAGTTAGCAAAGGGATAGCTCTGTTTTGGGTTTGCCGTTATGCCGTGGCCCCTGGTTTGCTGCGTCAGTAACCCAGTGGCATCCTGGCAGCAGCGCGGTTCTGCCCTCAACTCCCTCCTGCTTTCATCAATGCTTCGCTTTACCTCCTTAAAATGAGGTGA